AGGAGCACACCACTGCCATTGAGCCTGCTGCAAAGAGATCTCGCTCTGATGCCACATAGTTTCACTGTTTTGGAATTCACAGATCTTCTGATGTGATGCTGATAAATTCATTCCTAGGATTTCAGTGTTCTCTTTTTATGCACGCTGTTTTGCAACAGACGGCATTTTGCCGACAAGCCTAGACGGTTCCTTCGATTCGAATGCCATTTTGGCAACTCTGATGACACGGCATTTTGCTGACTTTTTTGACTTGCCTAGCTGGCGCTTTCGACGATATGGATGCATCCGCATCTTTCCCATGACTCTGGCCCCCAGGCTGGAAGGACCCTGTTCATGCCCTCCGCACCCCGGAGTGTACCCCTGGCTAGCCCCGAGAAGATGGCAAAAAAAAAAAGAGGGCCAAGAGGCATAAAGCCCATCAAACAAGAAGCCCCCCCCCAAAAAAAAAGAAGATTGTCATCTAGGCTGCGGATACCTCCTGCGCTGGCGCTATTGTTGCTGCGGCTCTTTTGACTTCGAGCAGCCGTTGCGCTATAGCATTGGGCATGGCTACTTTGTGCTCTGAGCTGCCCCATCATCTGGCGATGCCTTGCTGCAATTTCCACTGAGCCATTCTGAGTAGTTCCGTTTTCTTTCTCCTGAAGCTTCTCACACATTAGCAATTTCCTCAATTTGTTTTTTCTCCATGCACATCCGTTCACACCACAATTGACGGTGGAACTTTTGGGATGATGCAAGAAAGCTCCACGGAGCATATACTGGTCTGAAAAGTCCCATTCAACGGTAGGCACCTGCAACTCTACCGGCATTGGGCCGCATACGAATATTGTATGTGAAGGGCTCGACCTGCTGACTAAATAGTCATGGGGTTCAAAAAAAAACACACACACACAAACACACACACACAAAAACACACACACAAAAACACACACACAAAAACACACACACAAAAACACACACACAAAAACACACACACAAAAACACACACACAAAAACACACACACAAAAACACACACAAAAACACACACAAAAACACACACAAAAACACACACACAAAAACACACACACAAAAACACACACACAAAAACACACACACAAAAACACACACACAAAAACACACACACAAAAAAACACACACACACAAAAAAACACACACACACACAAAAACACACACAAAAACACACACACAAAAACACACACACAAAAACACACACACAAAAACACACACACAAAAACACACACACACAAAAACACACACACAAAAACACACACACAAAACACACACACAAAAACACACACACACAAAAACACACACACACAAAAACACACACACAAAAACACACACACAAAAACACACACACAAAAACACACACACAAAAACACACACACACACAAAAACACACACACAAAAACACACACACACAAACACACACACACAAACACACACACAAAAACACACACACAAAAACACACACACAAAAACACACACACAAAAACACACACACAAAAACACACAAAAACACACAAAAACACACAAAAACACACAAAAACACACAAAAACACACAAAAACACACACACACAAAAACACACAAAAACACACACACAAAAACACACACAAAAACACACAAAAACACACACAAAAACACACACAAAAACACACACAAAAACACACACAAAAACACACACAAACACACACACACAAACACACACACACACAAACACACACACACAAACACACAAACACACACACAAACACACACACACAAACACACACACACAAACACA